AATGAAAAAAAAAATTATACTAATTGATAATATTAATAATTTTAGTATTAATTAATGGTAATTAAGCCATTCATTGACACCTAATTCATTCATAATGAAAAAATGGAAAAAAATTATACTAATTGATAATAATAATAATTTTAGTAGTAATTGATGGTAATCAAGCCATTAATTGACACCTAATTCATTTATAATGAAAAAATGAAAAAAATTATACTAATTGATACTATTAATAATTTTAGTATTAATTGATGCTAATTATATTAACTTTTGTAATACTAATTACATTAACTTTTATTAATGAAATAATTTTTTTATAAATTAAAACTGAAAAAATAACAAAATAATCATTTTTATATCATATAAGGGCAAAATTGATAATTACACAGTAAAAAGATATTTTACAGCTTATTAACCAAACACTACTCTACTGCTTAAATCCATAATCTTACAACTGCACCAAACAGGCTAACAACTTAGGGTTCACAACTATAAGCCATAATCTGTTAAGCTATAATCTATAATCACTTTTCCACAACTCTACCAAACGGGGTCAGTATTACGTAAATCTTTTTCTATCAACTTCCCACTTCAATTTTTCATAATCCATACCTATAATACAATTAAAAGTATGAGATTAATTGCACAATTACATAATTTTGTTTAATAGTTCATCTTGTGATACAAAATTATTGAACCCACCATTGCATATTATTTTCATACTATTGATATAAGAATGCATTAATATCAATATGTAATATATTTTTATACATCAAGAATTGTTGAGTCTCATTTTCTGTGCCACGAATATCTTCCATGATGAAAAATATAATGTTGGGCATTAGTATATTTTAATTTATGTAGGAAATGTGGAATAATTTTTTTTAAGAAAATTGAATGATATTATAGCTTAATATTTTGATTGATATATGAATTTCACAATTATTTTCAAGATATTTATAGATCCATGAGTGTTTGCAGGTTACTTTCATGAAACTGCCAAGTTATATAATTTATTATTGTATCTATAAGTAATCAGTATATAACAAAAATTGATCGAAACTTTTTATTTGATGTATTTACTTCATGTATCATTGAGTTGTTGCGATAATGTTTGGGTATCATTTGATTTTTCCTTATAATTGACTAAAATGTGTGCATGATGTGCATTATTTTTCTTAAACTTCACAACAGATAGGACAATTTTTACTTTAGTTCATTTAACTTTGTTTGGAGAGTATATTGCAATATATCTTCTATACTTTTTGTTTCACCATCTTCTTATTTTTCTTATTGCTCACCATTATAACTCATTATAATAAAAATATTTTGATGGGTAAGAGTTTGAAATGATATTATATTGTTCTGAATTTCAAAATTCATTTTCCCTCAATAATGTGATTTTTTCTGTAAAGGGAAAAAAAAGTACAATTATTGTCGTGATAGAGGTATTTTGCAAAGTCTTGTTTTGTTATTGAAAGTATATGTTGCGGACACTTATTTGTATGACATGTATGTATATATGTATTGAACATAAGTTGATAGGAGAACAACACATATTTTGTAAATTTTTTCCTAACAAATATAATTATATTACTAAAGAGATACATGTTAGAAAATTAAAAGTATCCGATGGTAATATAGCATTACAGATTGAAAATGTATGAATACAATAACATATATAAAGTTACATTCATATATTTTTATATAGTTATAGACGTAGACATTGAGATATATATATATATATCTATATCTATATATATATATATATATATAAGATATCACAAAAATAATATATGAAATCTTTTGTAACAATATAATACAGGTAACAATGAGAAGTTAATTATTCATAATTAAATAGTTGGTTATAATGTAAATGTTTAGTATTACATTTTTGTGTGTATACACCATTTTTTAATTAGACTATTAAATTTACATAAAAAACTGAAAGGAATTTGTGAATAATTTGTGTAAAATTAGAGATTAGTTAAGAAAGATTTTAAAAAAAGAAAAAGAAAAAAGAAAGAGAAGTTTATAGTGTTTGGTTTGGTTTATTTTTTCAAACTTTTGTTTTGAATTTTTTGATTTTCATGTTTTTCTGTTTTTTTAATAACCCTTTTATTTTCTTTTTAGATTCACTTTTTTTAATACTTTTTTATTTTTTATTTTTTAATTTTAATTTTATTTTTTTGATTTAAATTCACTTAATCTAAATACACTTAGAAAATAATGTGTTGTGTATTCTTTTTTTTTAAATATTTACATTAAATGATAATAAAAATAACAAAAATATATAATAATAATAATAATAAAATAGTACATGTTTGAATTTATAATTTTTTTTTATCAATATTTTATTTTTTAATTCTATTTAGATTATTAGATATTAAATTTTCATGTAAAAGTATAATTTCAATATAAAATATGAAGAAATTCTAGTATCTTTGAAAAATTTAAAAATCTCAGAAATATTGATTTGTGATTATATTTCAATTTTAAATAATGAATAACAATCTCAATTAAACTATTAAAGACAAATCGACACAACTATTTACCGTGGAAGAAACCATAATTGGAGTACTTCCAATTGTGATAAAAATCCATGGGCCAAAGTCACAAAATGATCCACTAAGAAGACAAAAAAGAATTACACAAGAGTGCCCTCAATTATCTAGCAAATCCATATCCAAATTGAACCGACACCTATATACCTTTTCCACCACCGTTTTTACCTCGGAATTGTCTTGCCCAACGTTGAATCCACAACACCGATGTCGAATCCACGACAACAAGCCACTTTAGAATCCACCAAATCTTCAAGCCCAAATTCCTCGGAATCTACTGAAAAACAACTCTCTCTTTTGTGAACGAAATAATAAGAATTACCCTTGATGTTTGATAATTTGTAATTCGTTGATCAATCAATCACCTTCTATACACTATGAAGACTCATATAAAATAGCCTTCAATAGAAAACTCTTTATTTTTTCTTTCTCTTTAAAATTCTAGATGACTTAAACCTTTCAAACAACAAATTGCGCACTTTTATAGTAAACTGAATCGCGAAGGTCGTTCGAACACACACTTCACCACTCGAGCGATGTGACTGAAGGCGATGCAAAACATATAGGTTGACTGCTCGAGTGCAAATTTCATCACTTGAGTGGTAAAACTTGCTTTTAAGAAGTTCAGGCTCTCTGCAAAAATATTGGATGATGGTTTTCTCCGCTCGAGTGCACAAATGATTACTCGAGCAGTCAAATAATTTTGACAACATTTTTGTTTTTGTAGTCAGCAAAATGACAAATATGAAAGAATCAAGATCACAAACTCCACTGAATAGGCACAAATTTGGATTAGATTCGCATCTAAACATTCGCATCCTGATTGAAACATAAGAGCAGATAAAATTACAACTGAAAGGAATTTTGTTAAATGAGATTGTCAATTACAAAAACTTAACATCTTTAATCACCAAAACCGAGAAAATATATGAAAAATCAAAAATTTAAAAATAGATTTAAAAAATAAAACTGACAAATGTGATTCCTGTTTAGAATTTTGACATCATACATTGGTTATTAAAGCACCATGTAAAATATTATAGTTCATAAAATATAATTTAAATAAAAAGAAAGTGTATGAAGATACTTGTGAAATTTTGAGATGCAGTATAAATCTTTGTTTTAAAAATGAATGCATACAACTTTAAGATTCAACCAAAATTATCCACAATCATTTGATCCATGATGGGCAATTGTAAATATTGTGTATATCAATATAGAAACAGACAGGGGAAATAAGAAAGAGTAACTATTTTTTGTTCTTTAATCATTCAATTTAAAAAATAGGAAGACGATTTTTTCTTTTTTGATAATAAGGAAGACAATTTATTTATATTTATATAGCACTTGAAAGCAGATATATTCAGTGTGTTTGGTTTAAGTTTTCTGAATTAAATTTTTTAAAAACTGAGTTTTTTGATTTTCGTGTTTTTTTGTTTTTAGTGAATATTTTTTAAATTTTAAATATTTTTTTTTTACTTTTTTAGATGCACCTTACTTATATGTATCTAAAAAGTAAAAAATTTGTGAAAAAATATTTTTAAAAATTAATAAATACATAAAAATATAAAAAATGTACTGAATTCTCGTATTTTTTTTTATTTTTGGTATTTAGTGAATTTTTAAAAGGTTTTTTTCAATTTTTTTTTTACTTTTTAGGTATATTTATGTTAGGTATATCTAAAAATTAAAAAAATTGCTCAAAATATTAAAAAAATTCAGTAAAAACAAAAAAATACGGAAAATAAGAAAGTAGAATTTTTTGAAAAGTGTTTTTGAAAGTGATAACCAAAAATAAAGAAATAATTGGTTTATATTAGACTCTTCATGACTTTTAAAAAATATAATAAATTTGAAAAGGTAAAATTGAGATTTAAAAACAAAAAAGTAAAAAACGTTCACACTTTTAATAGTAGTAGATAATAGATATATGTAGGGGCGCGGTGCGATTCGGACCGTTTAGAGTAAAATTATAAATTGAATGATGGATTAGCAAATTGGCGGATCAGTAAATTGTGATTTGAGCGATTTTGGGCGAATTAACAGATTGAAAAATATTCTATCCAATTATCATATATTTGCATAATATATAACACTAATTTACATAATATTTTTCATATATATATAAATAACATAAACTAATTTTACATAATATTTTTCATATATATAACTATTAATTTATAATAAATTTCATATCATAAATCTTTTTCACACTTATTTTTACTTTAATATTTTATTAGGAATTAAAATATATATTTATATATATATATATTTATATTAATTATAACAAATGTGGAACTGTTTCAAAAATAAATTATAAATTTTAAAATCTAATTTGTAATTAACGAATAAAGCTATACAGATCGGTACGATTTTAAAAGAATTGGATAATATTTTACACAGCCATATATATATATATATATATGTAAAATTGTTTTCCCCTATGTGACTCATCGCTCTATCTTTCTCTACCGTCAGCTCACTCTCGCGCTCGGCTATGGATCTCTCTCTCTCTCTCTCTCTCTCGATCTCAGCTTTTGTTTAATATTGGAAGGGCATTAATTTATTCTCCAATTGATTTTCTCCGTCTCGTCTCTGGTGATTCAGGTATCTTTCTGTTATTTATGTTTCTCCTTTTCTTGACTGTTTTTCATTTAATTAGCCGAGTTTGAATTGTTTGTGTGTAATTTATGATTAATTCATGATTAGAGCTTTTATTTTCAGTTTTAAATGGCTTTGTGTATGGATTATTATACTATGTTGATTGCTTGAGGATGTAGATGTAGATGTAGATGTAGATGTAGATGGTGGCAGTGGCTTTTGCCTAAGTGGAAATACTGCTAGGAGTTATTCTTACAACTTTTCCTTTTACACAAGACACCCCTTTCAGCTTTCAGCTTTATACTTTCTTAATTAATACCATATATAAATACGTGGAGACTGGAGTGGAGAGACATCCTTTTACACACACAGAAAGAGAAGGAATAGAGCTATATTTCCTGGAACATGGATTGCTCAGGTGTGTGGAACGGGAAGGGGAAAGTAGTATCTCACATACTCTAAATTGTGATATGACAGGAGTAGGCTTCTTTACACTATAAGAATTTAAGGTACTTCAGCCTAGAGAAATTTTTTTATCTTTTAAACATCTAATAAAATGCAGTTTTTTTTTTTTTAAAAAAATAAAATAAAAATAAATAATCATATAGTAATACATTTCTATGAGCATGATAACCTATGTTTGACGTTTTGTCATTTCAAAATTTCACACACCTTATATTTTAATTATTTATTTTTTAAGCTCATAAGGGAATTATAAGGAAATATATTGGGAAAAACCTATGGGATCGCTTTGGATTGTTAAGTTTATAGTTTTGGAACGAAAGTGTATCATGCTTTGGAACGTGAATTCCAAAATGTAATTCGCTAGGCTATCAATGTTTTCTAGTAACACTAGAATAGAACTGATGCAGGACAGTGCTGTAAGGGGTGAGTATAACCCATGTCTAGAAATTATGAAATTACCAAAATACCCTAAATAATAATAATAATAATAATAATAATAATAATAATAATAGAACATGACTCATAAGCCTAAGACATAACTATCCACGGTCCCAAATGAGTTGCTCATCATCCAATGCATGCCAAATCCAACTTGGGCTTAGAGGCATCTCTTCCTCATCTCCTGTAGGCTGCTGCCACTTGCCTCCATCAAGAACCCTAACCCTCAATTGTTACTCCTTTCAATTTGTGTTATCAATAGAATAGGAAAAATTATTATCTTACTCTTTCAGTTATATTATTTGTCAACAGTTCCTGTTGCACCGGAAAATTGATTTTTATCATGCCTAGTTTTAAAAATTATCAATTGTCTAGCTTTTGACTTAACATGCATTGTGAGAAGTTTAACAATTAAAATTAAATAAATAAACAAATAAAATTGTGACATTCTAATTTTTTATTGTCATATCATCAACAACTTGACAGTGCACTTTGACATGCTTCATCATCTCATGTAACTTGAAGTTTGCAGTAATCGTGGGTTGATATCACAAAAAGAATCCTGATGGCTTTAAGTGGTAAACTTCGTTTTTTTTATTTGAGCATTAACTAGATCATCACATGGCTGCATGAGCTGTAGCTTTGTACTGTCCCTTTGCATTCAACTTACACTTTTGTTTTGCTTTTTTATGGTTCATGTTACTAGGAGGGTTTAACGAGCCATTCGAGAGAGTTTTTTTTTTTTTGTTTTTTGATTGGCACCGGGGGGTCCGGATCAAAGCCCTACCCGACCAATCCTCAGGGGTGCACAAGCCCTCGGCAAGGAGTTTCCCAAGCCATGCAAGAGAGTTTTGCACTCTCCAACATCTGTTTATGCAGAGTTGATGCTTATGCTGCTTGATGATTTCAACAAATCTTAGGGCTGATCTCTGAAACTTTCTTGGTAGCAACTCCTTTGATGCTTTGTAAACACCAAGGAGAAAGGACAAGAGGAAAGCTAGATGACTATAAGGAGAATGAAGAGAACTTGAATTTTAGTTCTGTATGAGAGAGCAGAATCTGGATCAGTGTGGCTTCAAATTAAGCTCGGTGAGCCAAATAGATTGGTTGGGGAAAGGAATATATGAGAGAGAGCTCTAACCCATCTGACTGGATCACTCCTCTTTCTAATTTGAACCTCTGACCAATATTATTTCTTGTCATAGTTTGACCCTCCCAAATAGCTAAATGTAACCTTACCTGTAGATCTTGGATGTAGAAAACTCATTCGACAAATAATATCCTCTTCTCCCACTAGATTTAAACTCTGGTCTTGAACTCATTATTCTGTCCAAAAAGGAAACCAGATTACTTATTAAACTCTTCCATCACAGTCAGTCTAGATAAGTAATATGTGATATTGCTATTTGCAACTCTTAATGTAGTCTAACCTTATCGACCTCCTATTTACCTTGTTTCACAAGCGGAAATAATTATAATTCAAAATTTAAGTACATTGGTACCAGGGTGCATTAATGATGATTTATTAATCTGTGTCAATAAGCCAGCGGGTGGTAACATGAGAGAGAAATGCTTCTGCAATTGTTTGATAACACAAGGCTATGGAAATAAGTGAGTTGTTACTCTGTCTCACCGCTAGTTAAGATCCAAAGACATCTTTATCTTTGGAACTTAAAAGTTCATTGGTTTTCTTCCTTTTGAACAGCAGATCTGATGGCATATCTTTCACAAAATTTATGTTCATGTTATAAGAAGCAGGAATTTGGTAAAACAGTATTATGAATTCATGCCATCTAGTCAATCTTAACCATTCCTGTTTTGAAGTAGATAACACCACAAGGGCTGACATATTTAGGAGACACTGATGGAGACAGTGATACACAATTCTTATTTTCTTCTACCGTACTATCTATTTCAACATTTGCTTCACCCTTCCATTTTTATAGTTCCTCCAGTTGCGACTGAAAAATAAGGGGGCTGGGGGAAGAGGTGCATATGGAACCCTCTGATTTGTTAGCTTACGAGCTTTGGGAGAGACAGCGAAAATTAGTTTCCTAGTTTTTGGCTAGTGATGTGAATCTTTGAGATCAAAATGACAATTTTTTCAGCTGTTGATTTCACTTATCACAGTAAGGCCCATCTTCATTCTTCTAATCCTACTCTCTTTTCTTCTCCTCAGTTCATTCTTTCTGAGAAGGGGTCAGGGTTTTCTTGCTGCTAGTAGGGATTTGGTTTCAGAAAGGAGGGCTAGTTATGGAGATGGGAAGACAATGGTATGGATTGTCAAGAATAATATGCTTAAGCACGTGTACATATATAGGCACAGGTTTATCAAGAATAGTATGGTTAAGCACATGTGAGCTGCACTTAAATAATTGTGTTGTTAAACTACTAACTATGGAGTCCTATTCTTAATAAGCAACCTTTATGATTTTGCAGGTCATTTAACTTGGCAAATGCTTTGGAATCTCACACAAAGGACAAGCACAGTGCTGGAAAATAAATGGATTTAAAGAGAGAGCTTCTTATGAATCCTGATTGGAAAATCTACGCTTAGTCTATTAGGTACTTTTTTGTAACACTAAACTTTGCTGTCTAGTAACTTCTTATATTTGAAGCGTTAATGTCAATTTGGTATGAATATAATACGGTATAAGGTTTTGCCATTGAATTGTCCATTGATCATTGTACTCACTCTGTCTATTAATATGGCAATTCCCTCAGTAGTACTTGTTCACTATTTGCCAGTTTGAGAGAGGTGGAATATCTAGTGTGCTATATGCTCTACTAAGTTCACTTGGGCCATTTGTTACTAGATTTCATTCTATGGATTAAGGTTGCAATCTTTTGATTACGACAATTTGTAGTTCACTAAACAGTTTCCTATTTTTGTGGCAACATTATGTATTTTTTCTTTGTAATATTTCTAAATCAAAAAAGTCATAACTACAAACATAATACGCAAATTTATTTTTAAACTACAAATTAAAAGGCATATTTAAGATTATAGTGTAATTTATCAAAATAAATATATATATATATATTTAAGATTATAGTGTAAAATTTAATATTAATATATGTTTTGTTGCAAGTTTTGTTTAGGGAGTAGTTGACATAATCAAGCGGGTGACGTTGAAAGCCAAACTGAGAATATGCTCCTCTTTTTGTTTTGTTAAATAATTATTTATTTATTTTTGAGGACTTATATTTTTTAGTGTTTTGTATAAACACTTTTAAGAATGACTGATAGGTATTTGCTTTGCATGTATGGAAGCTTATAATTTGTTTGCACACGTATAAATTATATATATATACTAGTGTTCTACCCGTTGAATCCAATGGTTATGTTTGAAATTGTTTCATGTATATGTGGTTTTAATGTATAACATATTTCTCTGTAAATCACTTTTAAATTTAGAAGCCAAACATTATTAAATTAAGTTTGAAAATATTATATTAGCAAGTGAATCAATTTTATATTTTAAAATACAATCATAATATTGTATTTGGTAAGTAATTAAAAGTAATTTTTGACAATTTGATGTAATTAAAAGTGATGACATTAATTTTGTAAATTTAAATTCATTTTAATTTAAATTTGATATTAAATCTTGCCAAAGTTAAATAGATATCCCTAATGGTTACAGTTTTTTAAGACGATACTTGGTTACAACAAAAGTAAGTTTGAAATTCAATACAAATAAAGCCCTAAGCTTGTACAAAGTAATTACAACAATAACAAATAGAAGCTCTTGGCTCAAAGTCCTCCCAAGCTATGGCCTTGGCGGAGGCATATTATCAACACCTAAAAATGGTTTTCCACTTAGAGTGAGCCAAAACCCAGTAGAGATACTCTAACATAGTGTATGAATCTTAACAAAGTTATAAGGTGAATGCATATGCAATGCTCGTGTCAAAATATTTTACATCTCTTTCCAAAAACCATGCAATGTCTGATTATATCACAATTCATGAAAACCACTTTCTTTACAATAGAAAACAGGGCAGTGGATACAACTCTGAAACAGATAGATAATTTTCAATAAATATAAACTTTCTAAAATTTCAAGATGGGAGTGATAATGTATATTCAACTCCACCATCATCATTATCATCATCATCATTCCAATTTCATAAAACCCAACATAATTTTCATTTCCTCCTTACAAAATCAAGTATTCACATTTTAGGGAAAAATTCCCTTTTCTTTACAAATTAATTCCAAGGATAAAAATTCACCATTTTATCACAACTCAACCACATTTACAAACCCACAATCATTCCTAAGCAAACATTTTGAAAACCCCTCTTTTGATTTCAAAACCAAAACCTTGGATTTATCCAAAAATTCCAAATCACAATATTATTTAGAAAAGCAAATAACTAAGTTAAAAACCATACGAAAGTGTGGAGAAATCCCTACCTCAAAGCTAGAAGGTAAGGAAGAGAGTGGAGAAACCTCAACGAAGCCGAACACCAACTTCCAATTCAAATGAAGCTCTAGGTGAGCTCTACCTTTTTATCAAAGGGACTAGAGTGTAGAGGTAAATAGATTGAAAATATTTGGAGGTTGAAGATGAGTTTTAGAGAGAAAAGGTCTAGATTTAGGGTTTTTGAAATGTTTAGAGAGAGAGAGATATATGAAAAAGTGACTCAAAAAGTAGCTGTTACGAATTGATATACGCGCAGACTGCTCGAGCGACCAAAACACTGCTCGAGCAACCAGACACAATAAGTGAGTTCGCTTGAGCGAACAAAGTGACTGCTCGAGCAAAAAACACCGCCTCCTAGTACTTTTGCAGAGAGTTTGCAAACACCGCTCAAGCACAAGAAGGACCGCTCGAGGCAAGACCGCTAGAGCACAAGAAACACCACTCGAGCAGAAAAAAAAAAAACACCCTCTCAGTACTTTTGCAGACCTGCAAATATATTGGAAGTTCTCAAGGACCGCTCAAGTGACCAAAAGACGGCTCGAGCAAACTGACCAAAATCTGGGCAACAATTCTATTGAGAAACAAATTCCCGACCTATTCCAAATGCAACAAAGACATCTAAACAACCAAGCTCAATCAAAATAAGATGAATAAGGATATGAACAACCAAATAAGACAAGGTATCCCGGATCCAAAACAATAAACAGGTTGGGTCTAAACCAGAATCGTTATACATTATGATATTTTGCAAAGTTCGACTATCATAATATAAGGAGTTTCTTGGAACAAATAATCAAAATCTTACCCAAAAAAGAAAAAAGAAAAAAAAAAAAAACCAATAAGAATAAGAAATTTACGTATAAGAACTGTCTACAAAACAAATTAGAGCATACTATTGATTAGAGCAAGATGAATAGATGCAAAGTTAATAGAGATGTAACAGTTTAATTAATTAATGTAAAAATGAAGAGAAGCAATAGTTTAATTAATGTAAAGATGAAAAATCACAAAACAATCACACATGGAGAATCAAATATTGCAAAAGAAGACAAAAAGAAAGAGAATAAATAAACTTGAGAGGTTGTTGGGAAAACAAAATGACATAGAATAGAGAAAATAGAAGACATATTACTTGGAGAGGACATATGGTAGATTGTTACATGGACACATGGCAACATTTGAAAGGCATAGCTTTCATTATATATCATGCGATACATGGATGAACATTCTTCACAAATATTACTCTTTACAGTTATTACTTTATTTGTCTATTATTATCGCATGTAACATTTGAATATATATATGAAAATAGGTTGATATATCTATTGTAGATTTAAATTAATTTATTAATTTTATATTATTTTTCATTAAAAATACCGTTAGGTGCTTGCAATTGATTTCTTTGTAGCAAATGTATATACAATTTTTATAACAAATAATAATTTGCAAATAATTGTTTTTATAATAAGGATATTCTTCTAGCATTTTTTTGAAATTTCATTGAAGACTGTTTGCAACGGTACCAAGATGGTTGCCAAAACGCTATGTTACAACTTATATGGACTCTTCAAAATAAATCAATATTTGTGTCGAACACTCAATACTCGGACAAGGGCATAGGTATGTATAGGATATGTGTCGGCTACTTTTTAACAGACACTTCTTATATAATTGTATATAACATTGTTATTATATGTACATATTGTTGAATAATTGCTATAAATGTCTTCTTGACACTGTATGTTACATGTGAGACAATTTTATCTCACATATTTGATTAAAAATATAAAAATATGGCATTTTTTTGTTGAGTCCATGTACCCTTAAATTTATGGTTTGATGAGTTCGACCTCTAGATACATACCTGCACCTGACACGCATACCCAAGTCCATGTAACAAAACATAAATGTTAATAAGTTTTTTATTTTTTGTGATCACAAAACAACAAACGCCATAAGTAGGTTAGGCGGTTGCAAATAATTTGTGACTGTTGCTTTGCCATAGCAAATGGTATTTGCCGCCCCACATTCGCGTCCCCTATTTTCCGACACATGGTGGTCACAAAAGGTCTTTTGTGATCACATTTCTATTATTTGTGTCGGCTCGTGGTGGTCGCAAAAAAATTTTTTTTAGTAGTGTGACATGAATCAAAATATGTATATATATATGTCTATCTTTACACCAAGATGAGAGTCCCACATTCTCATTCTAACTGGTGTGCCAAATTTGCCGTTTCTGAATTAAGAGCTTTATAAGGAGATATCACATTACCTGGGCCTTAATGACTACAAAATTTCTTAAACTTAATGGATGATCGATTTTATTAGCTCCAAGTTCACTTAAATACAATTTTTATTTTTTCTTGCTAATAGCCATTTTATCGAAGGTTTTGAATTTGAGCATAAAATAAATATTGACATGCACAAGGGATGGTTTGATAAGCTGATCCACAGGATTAGTTTTCCAAGTATAAATAATGTTAATTATGCATGTATACACTGCCTACAATGAAATTGTTGGAGAGTGATATCCAATGATTGTGTTACCAACCAACCAAACAAAGCCTTAAGTCTCATCAGATGGGGTTGGCTATATGAATCATTCTTACCACTTGACTCTATCAAAAGTCATTTGGTTAGTCAAATTAAGAAGATTCATATCTCTATTTACTATATTAGCCCACGTTAATTTGGGTTTCTTCCTTCCCCTAACACTTCCTATATCCAGTGATTGTGTTCTCATTTAAAAGGCACTTGTGCATACATCATTGATATGCTTGCCAATATGTTTGGGTGAGCTTGATCATTGATATGCTTGTTAATATGTTTGGGTAATCTTGAGCGTGAGACTAGGATTAATACAACAATATCACATCCATTGTATGCTCAATTAGTCACACTGGTTAATTGAAAACGTAGAGAATATGTACTCAAACATGCAACATATTGGCAACACATATTTATCTAGTGTGTAAGTGCCTATGAACAACAGTCACTGAATGCATGGGAGTTGATATGGTATGTTACAAATTTATAGTAAATCGAGAAACAATGGAATTCCTATCAATAGAATCCAGAAGTCCCCTCCAACGAAAATTTGTAGTTTAAAGTTAGCTATTCTGTGGAGCTATTAATTACCATTGCCAATTCTATTCTTCCTTTAGTGCTAACTATGGTTCTCTGTTCTCATACTATGCATAGTAAACTTTGTCTAGACTATGGCCACTTCATTCTAACCAACCCTTGGGGATCAATTATGTCATCAAGGAAGCTTTGCATGATGATCATTCTTGAGAAAGTTTTCATGTTATGTGAAGCTGTCTTTTAATTATGAAAAGAATGGGCTCTTTTGTGCTGCAAGAATTTTCCGGCGATCATCACTTTTGTCCTGACACAATTCTCATCTTTGAATAGGTGTCTTCACAATGGGGGTTTGTAATCAGTCTAAATTAATCAAAGCATGATTAAGGTACGGTCCACGACTCTCAGATCTTTCTTTTATTTTCTGGTATTTGATTTTCATTGGGTGGTTAGTTTGGATCTGGAAAGATATCTATAAAATCTTAAATTAGTTTGTTTTGGACTTATAGAGAACCCAGCTTGTACTGTGCTGTGAGTTTTGTTGAAGTCATCATAGGCTTTGATAGAATGGATTTTTACATGATAACTCTAGTTTGACATCTGACTTAAAATAATTTAAGTTCTGTGAGAGAGCAATTGTAGCTAACTTCTTGGTATCTAACAAAAGTTCCAATAAGAGGATTCTAGGTATAACTTTGAAGAAGTTGATGAAAGGTTGTGTAAATTTGGCCAGTACTGGACGAGGCAAGGCCAAAAACATAATATTTGGGTTTATGAAATTCATTAATTGAATTCTAACAGCACTCAGATGTGCAAAAACACCAAAAAGAAATATATTTAGCCAACCGTAAAATGTCCATAATGTAAATGAAACACTTCCACATCATTGTCTTTGCATTGCAATCTTTGAAGGAAGTTGTGCAAGATGAAAGGAAATGTCCATAATGGTATTGTACATTACAAAATTATAGTAAATCTAGAAAGAAGGGTATTCCTGTTGCTGGAATCCATTTGTCTCCCTCAATGAAATTTCTGAGCGTAAAATTAGTTGCTTCAATGGAGCTATTAATTACCTTTTCCCATGGTACTCTTCCTCCAGTATTGGCTCCGGGTCCTTCGTTCTTGTACTCTGCATAATAAACTCTGTCTGGACTACGACCATTCCATTCCAGCCAACCCTTGGGGTCAATTATATCGTCAAGGTAGCTTTGCATGATGATTGTTCTTGAGAGATTCCCCCATGGCCTACCTAAAAATGTTTTAAATTTGAAATTTTCTTGGCGTAGGTCATCTGCAGCTTTTATAGTGCAGTTTTGCATAATTGTACCAGTTTTTTCATCTTGTTCTCTTTTTTGTGCTGTTATTGTGTTTGTCTGCAAGTTAAGAGGCTTCTTTGCGTAGATTATAGAATTTTGAAAGAATACAGCAGCATTCCCAAATATAAAATCTACTGTGCCATAAATTTCGCATTCTCTGAAAAATTGTTTTCCTTTTACAGTGTACAGGGTATCTTGATACCCTTGAAAACGGCATCTGAAGAATGCTGAATTTCTTAATGCTACTGCTTGGTTCATGTATGGTCCAGCTGTGTTCTCAAAGGTAATATCTTGTGCAACAAAGCCTTCACCCTCTATCCCTATAAATGAAGGAAAGAAAAAAGAATGTCAGTCTAATGTTGAGACTGGCATAAATTTTAATTCAATCTACTAATTTAATTTATTTCTCTTCAATCAAAATTTCAAACTTAAAAGGATTTCTGATGCCTAGATTTAGAATTCATAACCTAAGTCAAAATCCAAGTATCCAAATTCAACTCTAAAGATCAATTAGTTGACTGACCTGCTGTTGCTGTATAATAGGTTTTGAAACCTCCACCATGGCTCTTGTTGCCTGATATCACCGTCTTGTTCATGCCATCCCCAACAAATGTTATATTTGTTTTTTGTTCTCCAACGAAAATGTTCTCTCTATAGAAGCCTTCTTTGATTTTTATGTAGTATCTACGTTTACTGTAGTTAGGGGCTGCAAGAATGGCATCTGCGATTCTTGTGAAATTCCCTGATCCATCTTGTGCAACTGTAGTGTCAATGGGCATGGACTTCCCTAGTGAACTCCACCAGAGAGTGATCAACACAGTGAGTGCCAACATTGTTTTTCTCTTTAGTAAAAGGGTTTTATGTGTTTGTTTCAGAGAAGTTTATCAAAAGTGTTTCTATGGTGTGAAAGGCTCGTGTAACATAAAGGAGTGAATAGCTTGTAAAGAATGAGTAGTATTTATAAGCAAAACTTGCTGTTGAGTTCCTAACAAGGAGTATTTTTCTAGGTCCAACTGAGATTGAGTTGCACACGTTAAGGGTAACATTCTTGTCTCATTTGATCTAACTCATTACTACAATATAACTAGTAGAGAACTCTAATAAATAGAACAGTTGGCAGCTTTGTATCAATATAGTTATTAGGAAACTCTAGTGGTTTGGTTACTTGGCAATTTTTGTCTAGCTAGCTGAAACAAACTCTTAGATTGGGATGTGTCACATTATCATAATTATTGTATTTTTTTTGTGTTGAGAAAATAGTATACAAACATAATTTTTATACAAAAAAAAAGTACATATACATAATGGGGAAATATAAAATAAAAAAAAAGGGAAATATCAAAATAATTGCAAATTCATAAAAGTAGAACATTATTTGCACAATTCAATGCACAAATCACTTTTACTTTCATGAGTTTGCAATTATTTTTTCAACTTCCCACTTTTTTGACATTCCCGGTAGTAGTACTTTTGAAATTATGAGCAGAAAGGTGGGTCGTTTTGATTTAAAATGAAAGCACCACAAAAGGCCATATCTTTTTTTGTGTTAAAATTTTACACAAAAATTATGCTTGTATGACATTATTCTAATTTTATAGTAGTCGCAAATCCCCTGACTCCATTCAATTCGAGATGATGTGCTCCATTGAGCTATGATGTGATGATTTTGGCATCACTTAATCTTCTCTACAAACATGATCTGACGTGTTGTTATTTCTTCACTCTTTATTTCTTTCTTTTGTTTTTTTAAACATTTTCTTGTTAATTTTTATTTTTGGGAGGGGGTTTGCACTCTGAGTCTTATTCTTTATTTCTTTCTCTTCTTGATTTTTATTGCTCACTTAGTAGGCTTTGTTCCAAATTAGGCTTAATTTCCCTTGACAATTTGCTGGGCAATGTCACTCCTAGCTGAACTTGTGGGCTGCCATTATCCAAAACTGAACTTGTGGCCAAATGCATAGCCCGTATACTTCGGGCCACCTATTTTTTAGGAAAATGGCAAAGGGTGTCCATCACAACTCATCAATAGTCTAATAGGAACCAACACTATTGAAGAGTGTTTGTATAATAAATAATCGATTCTGGGAAAGAATGGCAAGATAGTCATGAGCTATTGGTTGTTTAGAAGAATTTGACAAATTGATTGAACAATGGCTTTAAAAGAGAGTAAGAGAGTTCTATCCAAATGCAAGAAACATCAAAAGCTGAAGCCATTCACTTTGATTTGATATATTAATTTTGATCTCTTCTAAGAAGAAAAATACAACTTTGACACTATGATTTGGAGCCATTTCTATTGTTATGGGGTTTAAATAGTCAATTCACAAGTTTGTGTAATACAAGCAATGCCCATTTCCACCTTGTTAATATTCTTGGAAATATTTATTGTTTTTGTTCCATGTTAACTTTTCCTAGTTTTGGATGAGTGTATCTTATCTTTGATTTTCTTTCAGATCAAAATTTCTGTATGATTTTTGTGGTCCCCTCTCCCTTGGAATTGGAAGCAATCAAATTTCCAAGGAGAGTAGCTGTTCCCCTAATGCTGAACTTGCCCTACTTATATGAACAAAGGGATAGGAGTGACATATAAGCAAATAATGCTCTTGGAGTCGTGCTTGGTGCGAACAATATAGACATGGATAATGATGTACAAAATTGACCTTAAAACTCTTTTATTGTGAAATATCTTTATAGGATATATGTAAATAGTGAAGAATATGCTTTGAAACATTTGATGCGTCTATTTAAAGAATATAAAACTCTACTATGGGATTTTTTTTATTTTTTGACAAAGATAGTGTTAATATAGTTTGATTACTACTAAACGAGTTTATCGCTACTCTATCAATTTCAACCCCTACCTCCCCTTCACAACACCTTAATGTGTAGCTGTTAGACCATTGGGTCAAACCCCAAAGTCTTATGGGATTATATATTTATAACCAAGATATATATATATGCATTGAAGTAGGCAATCCTGTTTTCCTCCTTTCATATTAGTTTTGTTTAATTATTTGAAGCTATTATTGTGGGATCCACTTTTTGAGAAATATGAGTTGAATAAATAATACAACTTTTTTTTAGTGGAATATCTTTTATAGATATGTTGATACGTTATATATATATATATATATATATATATTTTAAATTGCAAGATATGACATTGTCGAGTTTTTTTTTTTTAATATCTAAAAAAAAAAAAACAATTTAGAGAATTGACCTACTTTTCAAACTATTTGGGAAATTAACTTGTTTTTTGAAATTGCATTTTGAAAATGCGATTTTGAAATTGAAAATGCAATTTCAAAAAGTGAAGTCCATGTTATCATAAATTGTATTTTTAACATGTAATTTTAAGGTGAAATTGTATTTTCAAAATACGTAGGTTAGTTTTCTAAATAGTTTGAAAAGTTGGTCAATTTTTTGAATTGTTTTTTTTAAGAATATTTAAAAAACAAAAAAACAAAAAAAACTCCACATTGTCCCATTTCATTCCAATTGAATTAGAATTATGTCATGTGACTCAAAACAATTGTATGGCAGTCTCGAGGAAAAGAAAAAAGTTCCAATATTTATCCTCTATTTTGATAGAGGATTTTTTTTTTTTTTTTTTTTTTTGCTAAAAATAATTTTCAAAAATTGTCTTTTTGTGGTTTTATCTATTTAGTTACAATCCTAGAAAAAATGAAATATAGTGGTAGTGGTTGTGGTGAAAGTGATGGTGGTGATGATATGGGTGAGGGTAGTGGTGGTAACACTGGTACAATTCTAATTTGAATAATATTCTTTTACATTTAAAAATTGAGGGTTATATATATATATATATCATGGCTTTTTGTTACCAATTTATATTGTCGATATATGCATCATTAATTTTTTATTAATTATTTCTAAATATTAAAATCAATCATAAGTATCCATGACAGTAAAAGATACAAACAATGATAAAAAAAATTAGTGACATATTTCTCTTAGAAAATGAAAATCAGCTCATTTGTCTTTGACTACGGAAAACATTATTGGTTGATTTATAATTTTTGTTATATCAAATGTCGAAAAATGTGAAAAATATTTTGGCCAAACACAAACAAAGCATTCTAGTTTGAGGTGGACGGTGGAACAATCTCAAATGTTTTTCATCCAAACAATATGGGATACAAATAATGTCAGTGTAACTTTATTTAATCCAATATTCAAAAAATCATATTCACGGGTTTCAACTGAAAAAAGAATCCAAAAAATGTCTCAACTGAAACAAAATAAATCTCTTTGATTAATACGTTTGATTGCACAATCAAACATATACACTTAAGGACGAACATGGAACTGATTGAAGTGTTTGATGAACCATTAAGTAGTATGCTCATTGCTACTCTGTCTCCTTGTCAAGGTTAGTTGTTGGAGTTTCATATAACTCACAGTTGGCAGCTTTCCATCAATATAGTTATTAGGAAACTCTAGTGGTTTGGTTACTTGGCAATTTTTGTCTACCTAGCTGAAACACTCTTAGATTGGGATGTGTGACATTATTATTATTATTATTAATTTTTTTTTATGTGTTGAGAAAATAGTATACAAACATAATTTTTATACAAAAAAAGTACATATACATAATGAGGAAATATAAAAAATAATTGTAAATTCATGAAAGTACAACATTATTTGCACAATTCAGTGCACAAATCACTTGTACTTTCATGAGTTTGCAATTATTTTTCCAACTTCCCACTTTTTGACATTCCTAGTAGTAGTACTTTTGAAATTATGAGCAGATGGTGTGTCATTTTGATTTAAAATGAAAGCACCACAAAAGGCCATATCGTTTTTTGTGTTAAAATTTTACACAAAAATTATGCTTGTATGACATTATTCTAATTTTTCATCTTGATCAATAGTAGAAGCGAATCCCCTGACTCCATTCAATTCGAGATGATTTGCTTCGTTGAGCTATGATGTGATGATTTTGGCATCACTTAATCTTCTCTATAAACATGATCTGACGTGTTGTTGTTTCTTCACTCTTTGTTTCTTTCTTTTGTTTTTTTTAAACATTTTCTTGTTTATTTTTATTTTTGGGAGGGGGGTTGCACTCTGACTCTTATTCTTTACTTCTTTCTCTTACTCCTTGGTTTTTATTGCTTACTTATTAGGCTTTGTTCCAAATTAGGCCTCATTTCCGTTGACAATTTGCTAGGCGTCCTAGGGTCTAAACTGTTAAATTTTGATGAGTGGGCTGCCATTATCCAAAACTGAACTTGTTTCCAAATGCATAGCCCATATACTTCAGGCCACCTATTTTTTAGGAAAAAGGCAAAGGGTGTCCATCACAGCTCATCAATAGTCTAATTGGAACCAACACTATTGAAGAGTGTTTGTATAATAAATAATCGATTCTGGGAAAGAATGGCAAGGTAGCCACGAGCTATTGGTTGTTTAGAGGAATTTGACAAATTTGATTGAACAATGGCTTTAAAAGAGAGTTTTAGTTCTATCCAAATGCAAGAAACATCAAAAGCTGAAGCCATTCACTTTGATTTGATATATTAATTTTGATTTCTTCTAAGAAGAAAAATACAACTTTGACACTACGATTTGGAGCCATTTCTGTTGTTATGGAGCTTAAATAGGCAATCCACAAGTTTGTGTAATACAAACAATGCCCATTTCCATCTTATTAATATTCTTGGAAATATTTCTTGTTCTTGTTCCATGTTAACTTTTCCTACTTTTGGAAGAGTGACGATCATATTCTAATCCAAATGTATCTTATCTTTGATTTTCTTTTAGATCAAAATTTCTGTATGATTTCTGTATGATGTACAAAATTGACCTTAAAACTATTTTATTGTGAAAAAACATTTGATCAATTTAAAGAAGAATATAAAACTCTACTGTGGGATTTTTTTACTTTTTGACAAAGATAGTGTTAATATAGTTAGATTACAATTGAAAGAATTTGTCGTTACTCTATCAATTTCAACCCCTACCTCCCCCTCACAACACCTTAATGTGTAGTTGTCAGACCATTGGGTCAAACCCCAAAGTCTTATGGGATTAGGTAATCCTGTTTTCCTCCTTTCATATTAGTTCTGTTTAATTATTTGAAGCTAGTATTGAAGGATTCACTTTTTAAGAAATATGAGTTGAATAGATAATACAACTCTTTTTTAGTGGAATATCTTTTATAGATATGTTCATATGTTAATTTTTTTATTTTTTATTTTATTTTTTTTGTTAAAAAAAATGAAAAATATGACATTGTCCCATTTCATTCCAATTGAATTAGAATTATTTCATGCGACTCAAAACAATTGTGTGGTAGTCTGGAGAAAAAGAAAAAAGTTTCAATATTTATCGTCCATTTTGATAGAGGATTTTTTTTTTTTTGCTAAAAATATTTTTCAAAAATTGTCTTTTTGTGGTTTTATCTATTTAGTTACAATCATAGAAAAAATGCAATAGTGGTGGTAGTTGTGGGGAAAGTGATGGTGGTGATGATATGGGTGAGGGTAGTGGTGGTAACACTGGTACTGTGCCGGTTATATTTTTTACAATTCTAATTTGAAAAATATTTTTACATTTAAAAATTGAGGGTTATATATATCATGGCTGTTTGTTACCAATTTGTATTGCCGATATATGCATCATTATTTTTTTAATAATTATTTCTAAATATTAAAATCAATCATAAGTATCCATGACAGTAAAGGATACAAACAATGATAAAAAATTAGTGAAATATTTCTCTTAGAAAATGAAAATCAGCTCATTTGCCTTTGACTGCGGAAAACATTATTGGTTGATTTATAATTTTTGCCATATCAAATGTCAACAAATGTGAAAAATATTTTGGCCAAAAACAAGCAAAGCATTCTAGTTTAGGGTGGACAATGGAAACAATCTCAAATGTTTTTCATCCACCAATTTGGGGTACAAAATAACGTCAGTGTTACTTTATTTAATCCGATATCCAAAAAATCGTATTCACGGGTTTCAACTGAAAAAAGAATCCAAAAAATGTCTCAACTGAAACAAAATAAATCTCTCTCTGATTAATACGTTTGATTGCACAATCGAACATATACACTTAAGGACGAACATGGAGTTGATTAAAAGTGTTTGATGAACCATAAGTAGTATGCGCATTGCTATTGTTTGTTTCCTTGTCAAGGTTCGTTGTTGGGAACTTTCATATAACTCACATTTTCTTTTTTTAAATTTTAGACATTAAATTTAATGAAAAAAATATATATTAATGAAGTATGGGTACTTTGATAAATATACCGTATTCATATCGGGTACTTATTGGCGTATGCTTTGTAAGTTATTTAATATAGAATAAATTGTTAAAAAATCCAAGGTAAGGAAGGTATAAGATATTAGGTCTAGTGAATATTTTTTTAGAAAGAAGTTCACCATTTATGAAATAGT